TATTCCGAAGGAATGCTCTATACCACTGCACCATCAGAGCTTACATAAATCCTCTCCACAAGTACTATATATATCCATCACTGCTGGACTTGGGCAAAGTGGTGACACCTCACCTTGAGATTCACCTGCTGAGGCTTGCATATGTGTAATGTCTGGGACTATGCATATAATATGGAGTGTGCTATAGAGTATGCTTCATGGTCTGAATGCTGTGCTGACAGCCTAGTCCTATACATGATAACAAGTTCTATGTTGAGTTGTGCCCTCAAATATAAGTCAGCTATCATGGTGATTTTGCAGCTATGTAATGCTTGAGTTGAGAACTATGAGCTATAAATAAAGGATTGTCATCTTATTTGAGTCTCCCCTAAATGAGTAGTGCTAAGATATAAAATAGTACTACAGTAGTGCAAAATAGCGAAAATTAGAGGACCACATTTGCAGTAGTGCTATAGTAGTATCATGTTGGCACTACATGGCACTATAGAAAAAGTGATAGTGAAGAGTAGTTATAACTAGTACCAAGTATACTAATTAGTGCTTAGTTGCACTACTGAAGAAGTGCGTCTAAATAGTAGCTCTAATGTAGATGTCATCTCTGCTAACACTTGCTAATATAGATGTGATTATCTGAATAGTGATAATTAGTGTCAATTCGCAAAGGCTGTTTTCCAGATGTATTCTGCCTCAGTTGAGGAGAGTGAAATGGTAGGCTGATGCCTCAATGCCCATGATATGGCACCACCGGCTAATAGGAAGATTGTGCCCGAGGTAGAGTGCTGGTCATCTCAATCTTCAGCCCAGTCAGAGTCCGAGTACATGATCAAGCCATTGTTATAAGCACCGTTGTAGCGAATCCTGTAGGTGCGAGTGCCTTTGTTGAACTTGGACTTATCCGGTCCAGACTACACGAGGCTATGCGTCTCCTAGCGCTTAGCTGTAGTCGCTTATATAGCATGTTACCATATTTGGGACTCTCTGCTCGTGTACTATAGCTATGCTTCGGGACTCTTCTGGTACTGTCTAGGACAATCCGTACTACTCCAGAACGGTCTAGACAGGTCTATGCCTTACTCATCTCTTACTCATCCTATGGTGCGATACATCGCAATTTTTTCACCATCGTATTATTCATCGCACTATGGTACATGTGACTAACCACTCTTCGATTAGTCATGGACACTTCTCTGTAGTATATAAGGACTTCAGATTGTGTCCTCCCTCTTCAGTCTTTCCTTACTGACTGAAGAGTGAGTACTTCATTACATCTATCTCTAACTTGTAGTTACTTACTTAACCTTGGTAGTCTTGCTTCGACTCTAGGTACAGTTGGTTACTGCAATATAGTCTTTTCTTACTGACTGAAGATCTTGCTTTGACTCTAGTCGGATCTAATCTTTGTCTTCACAGCCCCGAGTTTATCAGGTTATGAGCCCTGCGCTCTGACCAAAGTTTCGTGTTGACGTTTATCACTGCGCGCACCCATCATCCCTCTCTGTCGACACTCGGTTCTGCCTGTGCATCCCCTCCACTTTCCTAAACTCTTGACTGTGCCCCCCGACACTGCTGCCACGGTGACTTTGCACGGTTGTGCCGGCGAGCGCTTTTAGTCTAGTATCTAGTATTGTGTAGCACCCTATTGTGCTTTCGAGGCGTACGGGGTTTCAGGTATCCCTGTGCAAGGCCACGCACTTGCGCCCGCCAGCACTTGTACCGGGGTCGTTAGTGACCTTAGGACCGGAGGACAACCGTGTGGACCCTCCTTACGATAGCCTTTTGCATACGTACCTATGGTGCAGTTCACTAAGTCGCCACCACTTTTAGACAATGATAAGCGCGCGCTTAAGTGATCACGTGACCTCCGTAATGTTGGGAGTCGACACTTCATGCTGGGTGGCAGGCGAAGCTTGGACCGCGAGTTGCATAGGCCGACATACCATTTTTGGTGATGGATAGAGTAGACAGACTATGCAACATACAACTACTGAACACTTCTCCTGTGCCCGACATATGCCGACAACATGCCTCGACACAAAAAAGCTCAGTTAGCTGCTGCTGCACGCGCCCTTGCAGGCCTCACAAGGGCCCGTCAGGCAGCTCAAATGGAAATCCCAGTGCCGCAGACTAGCCTAGAGCCACTAATCCCAACCATGGACAGTCCTCCCGCAATAGGACTCGACACTGAAGATGCCGGAGACGACTCCGATGAAGAGTCTCTTAAAGAGCTTGAAGGCAATGAGCTTTTCCGGAGCCTGGAAGCTGCAACAAAGTCAGCATATGCAGAGCTCATGAAGCTGAAGACAAAACAGCAGTGGAAACAGGGGGAGAGCGAGCTTAAAGGGGTCTATACAGGCAGAGCTGCGCAAACCCTCGATGACCACCGTCTGAAGGCAAATGCGAAGGCTGCAACTGACGCTGTTATTCGCAACTCGTGAGTAACATGTCTCTCACTGGATAAAAAAAACTCACCACCAGTGGTAACCACAGATACGAGGCGGAGAGATTCCGCAGTTTCTTCAAGAGAAACAGATCCTCCACTGAGGAGACGCTCCCATCCAGTCCCAAAAAATGTGCTCGCGTCGCCGCTGCCACAGCTCTGCAAGCCAGTGACACCGTCTTCGCGCGGATACAGATTCTGATAAACTCGGGGCTGTGAAGACAAGGATTAGATCCGACTAGAGTCGAAGCAAGATCTTCAGTCAGTAAGGAAAGACTATATTGCAGCAACGAACTGTACCTAGAGTCGAAGCAAGACTACAAAGGTTAAGTAAGTAACTACAAGTTAGAGGTAAAGGTAACGAAGTACTCACTCTTCAGTCAGTAAGGAAAGACTGAAGAGGAAGGACGCAATCTGAAGTCCTTATATACTACAGAGAAGTGTCCATGACTAATCGAAGAGTGGTTAGTCACATGTACCATAGTGCGATGAATAATACGATGGTGAAAGAATTGTGACGTATCGCACCATAGGATGAGTAAGAGATGAGTAAGGCATAGACCTGTCTAGACCGTTCTGGAGTAGTACGGATTGTCCTAGACAGTACCAGAAGAGTCCCGAAGCATAGCTATAGTACACGAG